TAGTCATAACTGTAGGATCCATTTGGAAATATAAACAGGTCTCAGTTACATGGAAGTAAATTATAGTGGCTGGGAATTAGTCATACCACAGGTATGAAAGACATCAAAATTGCTCTGAAAAAATAAGCTTATTTACTTGTACACAGTAGCACCCAACAAACAGCTTTAGTGCTTCCACACCTGAGCTGGGCAATGGGAGTTGTCAGCAAAGATTTGGGAATATCTGCACTCTTTCTGTCCTTGCCTAAGCTCCAAACCACTTAGTCACTCCACCCGAGACGTTCTGACCAAGAGAAGAACGTGAGTTTCCAAGTCAAAGATCTTAAACAGAAAATGGCTCTCCAGCTACCACTTTTTTCTCTCGCGTTAGCAGCCTTCTAGGCTGAGGGCCAGCACTAACTGGTGGCTGGGCCAGCAAAGGACAAGCTCCCTCAGATTGCTGGAATTTGCCGGGCCAAAACTAACATGTTCAAATCACGACAGGAGGTAGCCAAAGTAGACTGCGGAGTACAGGCACTACACCCTCACAGAGGGATAAAACCAGCTCAAAATCTCCACAGGTACCGGTTTCTGATCAGACGGAAGATGCATCTTTGTAAGGAACATGTTGAATGAACCCTTCTGTTGGGAGGCTTAGGCCTGGATGAAATGATAGGATCCACCTCCAGAAGGATTCCTCAGAACGTCCTGGCCAGGCAACAAGCAGAAATAACAACAACAAAAAAAGAAAGGTTGTCCTGGCTACTAATGCTTTCCTGAGCATTTAGAAATCCGGCCAGAATGAGACTGGAAATCCAACCAGGCCTTTGGATCGCAGACTTGGAACAACCTAAGATAGACATGCTCAAAGGGCAAGATACTCTCTTTGGTTTTTCCTCAGGTTACAAGCCCTATCCAGACAATATCACCTCAGCCCTCTCCAGATCCAATTGCAGACATTTTCTTCCCATCTGTGCTCCTTCCTCAGCTAAACTCTGTGTAATGCTGCTGTTGATAGATTATACAAAAGAGAGATATAAGATAAAGTATGTATCCTTAACGTAATAAAGACTCACCCACCTGTATCTCTTCCCAAGAACCCCAATACAGTAAACAACAAATGAAGATTACTCTCTCCAAGGTAAAGAAGAACAATCCTTGTATATTCTCTACGGGGATTGTTTTAGTTCATTCATGAATTACCATAACATATAAAAACATATGTAAAAAGTATTGGGTAAAATTCTGGCCTGACTGAAGTCGATGGCAAATGTCCCATTTACTGTAGTGGGACAGGATTTCATCCACTAAGTTCCAAAATAAACCTTTTTTGCCTACATTTCCTTGGATATGCAATAGCACATATTAGGCAGATGCTCTGTGTTTGCTCAACAGCTAAAAAAAGTTAACGCCTTTCCCCCAAAACACTGTCTTCTCTCCCCACTAGAAAATAGACTTGGAATACTTTCTTCAGAAAATAACACCAAGTTGTCAGGGTTTGTACTGCCTAATCTGGGTTTGGCATAACCAAGTGATCTCCCTGGCTGCTATCCCTGCCGTTAATAGTGTGTAGCAGCACAGTTTGGGACCTGTCCTTTGGTTTTCCACTGGTACTCATCTCCGTGTCCAATTTCAGACACAGTCAATCATGGAATAAAGAATAAACCGTACAGCGCAAAGGTTGAGGAAAGGGAAGTGTATTGAAATTTCCCTCAATGAGTAGAAGGGCAATTACCTGAGCACCAGGGAGAGAAAGCTGGTCTGAAGAGGATGCCTCGCCATCCCGGCAGCAGCGTGAGACTTACCTCTCCCCACTCCCAGTGGCTCCTCCACATGGGCCACTGCCCCACAGCTGCAGGACGAGACTCAGGCCAGCATTTCATCTGCTCCAGTTCATGCTCCAGTGAGTAAACATTTCACACTTAAATTTTTACTAATAAACGGGCTGGGATGTAGGTGGGCCGCTGCCAGCATCTGCCTCTGGCTGGGGCACTGCAGCCAGGAGGGTGCAGGGGTGACAACCCAGTGACTGCAGCCCATTCTACCACACACCCAAGTAAGGGGCAGCAATGTAGGATATCCAAGGACATCAAATTGCTACAGATAACAGGTGAGCAACCCCCCAGGAGGGGGAGATCATTAGGAAAAAAAATATCTTTTGGGGAAGAAGAAAGAGCGCTACAATTATCTTCTGGGAGCCTTTGATTTCCTACTAAATTACTCTTCTCTGAACTCGTGCCTGGCTTTCCCCCTGCTCATCAATTCAGGTATTAAAAAGCCTCACTAGAGCTCTGGGAGATGCAATTCCCTCTTCAAAACCTAGATCTAAAGCAGCCATTCAATGATGCGGGGAGTTTTTGTATGCCGAAGTTCAGAAGCCACTTCATGTGATTTGGCCTCTCTGTTAGAAAGACAAAAGGCTTGGGCTAATATCTCAGCCTGGGGATTTTTCCCTCTTTGAAGAAACACTGAGAAAAGGTTTGGGCACAAAAATGAGAAAATGGTTCTAACTGGACTTTTAAACAAGTGTTTAGACAGAACAAATATTGATCCCTCAGTCCATCACTTTCTGAGCTGGGGACAGACATGAAAGAACAAAGCAGTACATTAATGCCGCTAGAACATTTTAAAAGGAATGAAAACATCCCGTCCCAGCACGCCCAGCTTACCCTCTCTGTCTGCCTCACCTCAATTAATATTAACTGATTGTAACTGAATATACTTTGAAAAACAAAACCACACGTTATGGCAGAAATCAACTCCCCTGTTATTACTAGTACAGCTTCAAGGCACAAATATGACTGCAGAATTTGCTGCAAAGGGCTTATCACCAAAAGTGCTGGCAGAGAAAAGACATTTTAGAAAATGCAGCCATGGGGACAATGTAACTTTTTAATTTCCCCGCAGGTGCACGTTGGGTGGATTTATTGACCTTTAGGCTATGAGGCAAGACTTATCTATTGGCTTAAAACTTTGCAAAGGAGAAAAGAGCAAAAATGAAGGGCTTGATAGAGGAAGTTTTACAGTATGAAATTTGGAACACTTGATCTGTGGAGGGTTTACAGGACACAAAGAGCACATGAAAAATCTCACTTCAGCATTATTTCTCAATACTCATTCTCTTGTGCCCTCTGATTATTATTATTGTTATTATTTTGCTTTTTACTTCCTTCTGCTAAAGGAGCAAAACCCCAGAACAGATCTGGAAAATTTAGAGATAGATGGGAAGTGAGTCAGGCAACCAGCCGAGACAGATACTTAAAAGATGGTAATGCTGCTTCTTAACCACTCCTTGCTCTTTTTACCTATCACCCTCTTGTCCCTGGTACCCTCCACTGTCCTGTGCCCAGCACGCATCAGCTGGGCTCTCCCTGGGAGAGCACATGGCAGACTTGGGCTTACAGTGGGAGAAAACAGCAAACCCCTTTCTCACAGGTTATGTGCAGCACAACTTAACGTGAAAACACATTAAACTCGGTATGCGGGTGAGCAAGACAGGCTCAAAGTAAAGGAATGAAACAAAAAAAAGAACAACGTGAAGCAAAGAGATTAAATAATCTTCCAAAAATTTATCAGACCATAGAAGAAGTGTGTTATTTTTTCATTTAAAATGCAATATTTAAGAATAATAAGAAAGAAAACTCATCATATTAACTGAGGCAACTAATGGAAAACAAATGCATGGCTCCAATGAGCCAGATATGGAGAAAATGCCAATGAAGAGATTTTGGCAAGACAAAGAGGACTTCAGAGCAGAGCACACACAAGTAACACTTCCTCTCCTCCTCCCTTTATGGGATGCAGCAGCATGGATCGCCACACACATGCTGCAACTCTGTCCTGATGCTTCATTTAAAATGAGAAAAAAAGAATGTGAAATAGGAGTTGCAAACTTAGCTTCCCAAAATATATTTCCTCAGGAATGTGCATATGCTTTATTTTTCTAGCTCAATGTCCATCATGCAAAGTAGTTGGTTAAGTTGTGGAGCATGCTACGTTTGGTATAGAGACCTCATGTCTTTAATGATGAGTGGGATGGGATTTTTGAGTGGAAACTGTGCTATTACAAACATTGGCCATGACCAGTTGTGTCTTGTGGTTTCACTTCCACTGTAAGAATTTGAAGGATTTCAGTCCTGAAGTCCAGAAGGTACGCTGCTCCAGAAGCAGCAGTGTGAGTCCAACATGGTGCCCATCAGTGGCACTTTGGAACTTGGTGGCCACAGACTGTCACTCCCAGGTTCCTGGTGGAGCTCTGCTCCCCAAAAAAGTTTGGCAGTGCAGGCCAAAGTGGTGGCCTGGCTGAATCTAATGTGTTTCATTTGGCCTACTGCCCCTTTCCCAGAGGGGAGAGGGAACAGATGATCAGGAAGCAAAAAGCCCAAAGAGCTGGGCACATTTCCAAATAGTTGACAGTGCACTGCTAAAGTTGCTGTTGCTGCCACTTGTCCCTAGGAAAGCGAGACAAGAGGTGAGACACATATGGAGCAACACAGGTGGGCTCTACCTCTCAACTGCTGAGGAAGCCTCCAAACTGGAACACGGCCCCCAGTGCTGATAGGGTTAGACCACCCTCGGCCCTATGGGGTAAAAAATATCTTTGAACAGCAAAAATATTTCAACACTAGCATCTTGGACAAACAACCTAGGTGCAAAACCACCCTAGCAATCACCAGAGATTACTCAATTTGTAAGGAACAAGTATTACAGATAACTACAGTCACACAGTCCTATAGTCATAGCTATAGGAGCAGGGTCCCCTGGTGCTGTGCTTAGTTACTGCTCGGGCTGTACGTTTGCTTGGGACAATGAATGCTGTAGGGAGGCAGTGAGCAAACCAGCCACAACTTATATTCAGCCATAGAGTTTCTTTTCCCTGAACTCCGCTGATCTTGCCAAACAGAATTTATAAACCCAATGGAGCGAATCAGCAATGCTGCCCAAGCCCATTTCAAGGGCAGAAAACTGCATCAAACTCTTTGTAGGAAAACATATGAAAATGCCAACTCCACACTCAATGCTCATTGTGGCAAATGATAGATCACAAACATTTTTATTATTGGAATGCTTTAAGACAGGAGAAACAGTCACTTTTAAAGTTCACATTTCTAGGAACTCCACAGTGAATTTTAGAAGATATGACCCTATAAACACAGCTCCAGTGTTTCCAGCAGGTGGTTTTTCTAAGCACAAAAGGAAAAAAAGAAAACCATCCCTTCTTTCCCTGTGATATTCTTACCTCCCTGATGGTCTCCAGTACACAGCAGGGAAAAAACAAATTATCCTTTTATTCTGCTGATGAACAATCAGGAGACAAACAGGCTTTGGGCACAACAGAAGGAAGGGGCAAAGCTCTAGGTTGGGAGGAGATGGTCATGGCTAGGCTTCTGCCCACCACTTTCCACACGCGTGGAAGGGGCAGGCTGAGGATGGGAGAGGACACGGTATGCCCAGGAGGGAGGAAAGCAGGATTTCACTCTGCTGCACCGGTGTCCTAATCAGCCTCGGCATAGGGGGAAATTACAGCAGCCCAAGGAAATCTGAAAGCATTGAAAAAGAATTTTAAAAGGCAGAGACATCAAATGCATTTTTGCAAAGGGCTTATCTGATTATATCGACTTTATGTCTGCTTACCAACAAAAATACTTTTTCATCTTTCCTAGGTAAAGTCTCAGGGAACATTACTTTTACCCTCTCTTTCTTAATATTAATTTCGTTCCCCTTCTACTGGGGGAGAGAAGTGACTTTACATGAACTGCATGTGAGAATGTGCAGGAAAACATTTCAACAAAAACCGTGGGAGAGAGAAGATGAAAGAGTATGAGGTTTCCTGTTCTTGGCAAGGCATGTTGTCCATACGGGAAGATTTCTAAACTCCACCACATATTACTCTGGCCACGTCTACACTGGAGAAACACACCATGTTAAAAAAAAAAATGTGTGAACTGACATCTCTTAAAACTAGGACAGTGTGAAAACACAGTATTTCCCTGAGGCATGAATGGCAACAGCTGTGTATTTTTAAAAATGTGCTGGCTCCTGGTGGTTAATTGTAAGGTGTCTCCCACAGATAATCACCAGGTTTTTTTTTTTCACATCCAACATTCCGTCTCTCCATAGCTACCAGTTATCACGATAATCATTTCAAATGAACTGCCTCACCACAAACAGGGTGTAAGGCTCACATTTACAGAACAGCACATGGATATTTATGATCTGGCCATTCATTTTCTACACACACCCCCACCCCACCACCCCTCCTGTTTTCTCTTTGAACAGAACAACAACATTCAGGCTTTTGGGTCTCTTTTGAAGACACAGGTGGAGACGCAAGATTCTGACAAGCAGAAAGTTCTCCCATTTCCTCATTGTGGCCATTACAGATAGTGGCTTTTTGTCTGTGATTTATTAAGAGATACCATGTGATTGCAAGCCTGTGCATTTTATACACAGTATGCTGTATCACTGGAAGGATCACTCAAGAAAAATAAAGTGGGGTGAGAAGAACTGGGAGGATGGATGGAGAACAGTCATCTGTCAACATCAGGTTACCTATCACAAGAGAAAATAAGATTTTATCCAGTCAGTATTTTCCCTGTCTCCAAAAACAACTTCCCACCAAAAAATGCTCCCACTGCATAGTTCAGTCATTGTGTTTGATGCAGTGAGGCAGAGCCATGGAGAGGGACCTGGAAGAGCAATCCATAGCACTGAACACTGAGCCTGGACAACATGAAGCTCTCCAGAACAGCTGAGGATCTCACAGGCTCCGTGGGGATGCTGTTGATGGAAGGAGGCCAGGACAAGTTTTGGGGAAAGGAAGCAAAGCAAGGAGTTACCATGTCATAATTAATCAGGATGGAGATAGCTTCCAATTTCTTAGCAGTGTTTTCCCCATTAAAGGCTACAGTTGCCTTAAAAAAAAAAAAAAGGAGAAATTGAAATCTGTGTGAGAGAATACTACTTTTAAAAATGTGCTGCCATAGACCACAGGGCTATGTTACTGGAAAGCACATGGACATTTTCTTCAGGGTGTGAAAGTTCAGAACACACTGTGCCATTTTAAGCACAGTCATCCTATTTTAATGGCTGGAGAAAAACTACATCTTTGACCTGGCAATCACATGTACCAACACCACTAAGAAACCAATAACACCAGAAGCAGTTTTCCTTCCCCTTAGGTGATTAAAGGACATTTACAACCTCACTTAAAAATTAAAAAAACCAGGTTGGCTCAGGAAGTGAAATACACTGCATTTTACTACATTTGTTTTAATTAGCAGCAGGTATTTTTATCTAAAAATTCATTTAGCTACCATGATGAGTTTGACTCACTAGTTACTTTTGAATTTCCTGTTAACCATTGATTTAGAGCAATATGGAATAATAAAACTCATTTAATGTAATTTTCAGTTCCAAAATAGAACAAAGTCATTAGCAGAATTGATCTATTCCAGTGGGTTTGCATCGCCAAGCTTTCTTTGAAAGCAGCATGTTCATTACCATGTTGCATGGGAAGAAAAGAAATTGAATGAGCAGGAAAGAATTAATATACTTACAGGACATGAAATTTGACTCATCTGGCAGCTGAAGCCATGTTCAAATTTTTGTATGGAATTTTTCTATTCATGCTCTATATTGCTGCTTTATTGAGAGCAGATCTCTAGTTGTCAGTGCAGGAAGCTTGTTTGTCAAGGGGATTTACTTGGAAATAGTTAAATCACGTTAAGATTCATGGTGTCTTTTCCTAGAGAAAAAAAAATGCTGTTGGATGCAGCACAAGTTTTTTCTGATTGCACAATCTATGCCCTTATTTATCTCGATAGCCTCCCAACAGGAGACTCTGTGGCTATAAACTCATCTCTCATTCTACAGCTCACCGTTTGCCTGTCAGAAAGAAGCAAATTCAGTGCTGTAAGGTAATCCTTACATTCGATCAATCATAAAATCAGCTTCACCATTTTCTTAAGCTACCCACAATGCAAATTTTGGCTTCACTTTTCACACTTAACTCTTAAGCCATGTTTAGAATTGTATTGCAAGTGCTTCCTCTGTAGAAATCCCACTGCAGCAGCAAAACCCTCCAGACTCCTCACTCCGTGTTGCTCTGCAATTCTTCATGTGCCAAAGAATTTTCTAAAGTATCTGGAGTTATACTTCAGAGCATGAGAGTACCAGAACATGCAGATACATACAGCACCAGCGCTTCTCAGAAATGCATTTATAGGCTGCATTAGGATGCCCACTTTTTCATTTTCAGCATCAGCTTCCCCCACATTAGCACATTATCTTCTCCCATCCCTTCTTTTATACCCATTCAGCATTCACCTAATCCAGAAATATCTCCTCTCCTCCCGCTTGCCAGGTAAACATAGCATGTTTTCAAATATTTCCTTTCAGATGTCAGAGCTCTGGTCTCTCAGTTTTAGTTTTTCTCCTGTCCTTTTCACCTCCCTGAGAGACTGCAGTTAGTTACAGCTCTTTCTTATCTACTCTCTTGGAAATCTCTCACTCCACTAGGTGTAGCCCTTGGTATTCATAGTTCATACTGATGCCGAAGTGGCTCTCCCTCACTCCAGAGGACTTAACCCTTCAGCCCTCTTCTTAGCAAAGCATCAGCTGGAGGGAAAAAAAAAAGCAAAAGACATTTGCAGCATCCAAGAGTTGTTCGCTGCAGCAGAAAGGAGAACAGAAAGAATGGAACAGTTATCAATTTTAATCTTAAATTACTTTCAATACATATTTAGTTACTTTTTGTTCATCTTACTACAAAACCCAAAATGGAAAAAAAAAAGACATGAAATCATATTGTATTGAGGGTTTTATTGATGGTTAAATTGCTGTCACTTAAATCAGGCATAGCACTTTTATTTCTTAGAACAGGATTAAAAAGGAACTGGCTATTAAAGATTTACTTCTGTAAGCCTTTAAATTGCCAAAGACATATCGTTCTGCACAACTTTCATGCTGCCAGCAAATGACAGCATTCCAGCTGCATAGCTTACCTTGTATATTATAGTATACAGCAGTGATCTTAAAATTTATCACTTACCAGTAACATTTCTGAATTATGTTACAAACAAAAAACACTTTCTTACTTCTTTGCAATTATGTACAGTATAAAACAAAACCCAGGGTTTGTGGTAGAAATGCATATGATCTGATCATATACAGAAGACAACATCAAATTCTATGAAATAAATGAAAATAATTGTTTTCTGAGATTAGACTCCCATTCAAGACTACTTTAACTGACATTGCAGTGTGGCACTTCCCAGAAGCACGAAAAATACATCAGTAGACCAAATCCTCCTCTTTTGCTTCACCTTATGACTTACATGGACAAATCTAATGTCACCATGTGTCCTATGCAATCAGATACACGTGTATCACAACTCACTATCTAGGCTTACTTTGCACTAGAGAAGCACTTAAATGAAATCCGATAATCTTAATGTATCATAAACAATATTTATAAAACTATATGTGATGATACTCACATTACTGTCTAGTGAGGAAAAAAACTGCAAAAACTGCTTGGGAAGGAAATGAACATGCAAATCAAATGTTAAAGAACACAATTAAGAAAACCTCACACTAAGAACTGGGACAGTATAGAATGCAGCCATAAAGAAGAAGTATATTCCAAGTAATAGTGCATAGCCTTTAAATTGCAAACCAAATTCTTACCCAGGGCACAAAGAACGCCCTGGCAAGTACTGCCCCATGCTGCCAGATTCCTGCAGAAGTCCAGGGAAGAAACACAGGTTCTGCTGGAGACTTTGTAATCTCTCTTCAAAGCAATAAACAGTGGAATAAATGCAGTTTTTGAAGGAAGTGCCCGTGGAGAGATGTGCTAGAACTGTGAGCCAAAACCTCTCATTTCCTCTTCCTGATTCCAAATTATAAGAAATGGACACTTGTACAAAAAACACAAATGAGAAAAATCACAACAAAAAACCACCCCCTTTTTCAGATAAGTTACTGTTCACCACTCTGGTTTCCTACAGAGGATTCCACTATAAGCAGAAAAATTCTGTGTAACACCGATGCTTCATCGCTTTCTGGAATGAAGCATTAGCAGCAGTATAAAATACACATAAGCTACAACCTGTGTTTTCCCCTGTCATATTAGTTAAAATGAAAACAGATATAATAAGGATCTAGAAAAATTCAAACTATTATCCAAATGAAAGATGTTCAATCCAACTTGTAAATACCAAATACTCCCCTCTTTTGTGAAGATGCTTCAGACAACAGCTGTCAACCAATATTCAGTTATTTATGCAGCATGGAGTCCCTTAAAATGACATTGTCAAGCATTCAAATTATAAATACAAGACCTGTGCACCATAAAAGACAAGACAAAAATTCTCATAATATAAACACTTAGTTTGACTAGCTTTATGTAAGATACATTGCAAGCAACTGTCATTTCTCTAACATAAATCTCAGATTTGAAAGAAGACAGACTGGCACAGAATAGAAATAATTATTGTGAACTGCTTCCTATGTATGCCGTGGCCACAGAAAAATTCTCAACATCTGCCCACTATGAAGTTTGCCACTGCAGCTACTAACACTGCCAGCAAAGTTGCCAATAACTGAATGGTCTGACAACTTAATGCTTTTCTCTTCCCATGAAGAGAAAGTGCTTTACATCACAGATAAGCTGTAGCAAGGAGGCTTACAGGTTTCCTGCATGTGATCGTAAACACAATGAAAGATTTGTCCCTTCAGGAATACAAATTGTCTTTCAGTAATTTCTTTTTATTGATTTCAAATTCCTTCATAAGATCATGGGAAGACAGCAACATGTAAAATTAAGGCTGGTATGATTTAAGAGCTTTTGCTCTTAGACCTCAGTTCTAGAACTTCACTGTACTCTGGTGTCATGTATGCTTTGGATAACAGGAAAAAACAAACAGGGGATTTACAAAGAGTATCAACTGGTCATATCCCTGTGAACAATGATCTGATAGTGGTCCTGGCTACAGAAGGTCCGCTCTGAAGTGAACTCAGTTAAGATGAGTAGTTGTATATGAAAGCTCTCTCGGGGAAAGAGACACTTTGTAGATCCATTACATTCAATAACACAGCACTGGCAATGCTCAATGGCTGTGTTTATAAAGCAAACTACATTATTACTATATTGTCCTGCTTTCTTGATTACTTTACTACTCTGTACTTTAGAATATATACTGTTCCATTACAGTATATACTTAACATATATACAGTAATCAATACTGTTCTAAAATCTAGAAGTGTCACTCAAGAAATTTCCAGTAGATGGCTTCTATGCATAAATTTGCAATTATCTTTTGGAGTCAAGCAAATGTCTCTCAGAAAACCTGGCTCAAAATATTTTTAGATTTCCACTCAATAAATTCATATAAAAAAGTAACCACCTGCACATCTATCCTTCTCATGAACTATACATGCTCCACAAAGAGAAATTTAACAGCTGCATCTGGTTTGCTGGGATCACACTAAAAAAAAAGACAAAAGGAAAGAGAAATAAAATTTATTATAAAACATGTTGAAATAGCAATGACTTAGCTGACTTCCTGCTCTGCTGTTCCAGGCAGAACAAAACGTGACTGAATGCTTTCAGGAAAGCCAAAAGAAAACTACAGCATAGGTGTGTTGCTGCACTAAAATCGCTTTCTCTTGATAATTTCTGGTTTCCAGCTGACAGGATGAGTTTCTTCAGTCTAAAAGAAAAAAAGAAAAGTCTCATGAGGATTATTTTTAACCTGAAATTCACCTGTAATTAGGGTTTAGTTTAAAATAGAGGATATATACTCTATGTGAGTAATATTTTAAACTAAACTATCTCCTATGTAACATTAATTACCTAATCTGTGAAGTAATTAACCCAAATGCAATTTTATATCACCCCACTGTCTGAAGTATATGACAAGACTTGGTTCAGATTTTTTTTTTTTTTGCACAAGGACAAATATCAGGCTGCCAATGGCATTTCAGACATTGTAGTGATCAAAGCACAGGAACAGGAATTCTAGAGACAGTCCTTCCAGTGATATCTATATCAGCACCGGCCGATACCAGAGTCTATGGTTTGCCCAGTTGCAAAATGGATAAAACACACCTTATTCCTTTAGACTTGGAGCAATTCTTGCATATAACTCAATGTAAAAATCCTTATGTTCTTTATATTGAAGGCTTATTCCAATAAACTATAAAATAATCTACTGTCTTCTCCATTAGATTTAGATTTAAGAATAACAGTTTGAAAATAAGGTATTTACACTGAGTTCTAAAAATTTCATGGCAAATAACTGATTTAGACCATACAAAATAGTACAATAAATCTTTCATATTTCATCTTTTTGCTAATACTCTGTTTTTAATGTATACAACCACACACAGTCCTCTACTGGCTCCAAAACACAATGTACATTATTGCATTAAGATTTCTCCAAACTGCATCATAAAGGACTTTTGCAGAAGAATTGACGGACCTGAGACTTATTTGTACTATAGCATATAATAAGAAATTAGAAGTGCAAAAAGAAGTTGTTGTCCTCTTAATATTATTACATACATGTTGCTTTCAAATGTTAATAAAATGGATGACTGTGCATATTGCTTATTGATATGTGTAACATTTGTTTGAAATGTATTGATTTCATGAAAATATAATAAAAAGACACTTTGACATACCGCAGTATCATCTTCTTTGTATACTTTTATGGTTTTATCAGCCTCAGCAGTTAGCAATCTGCTTTCTGACTGGTCAAAAACACAAGCAAATATTCCTGATTCACTGTCCAAAGAGCCTGGTTGTACAGCTGCATGTACTCTCTGGAAATTGTATCCAGTTCTCCAGTCCCAAAGATGCATAGTACCGTTATCAGCTAAAACAGACGGACAAACATATTTAGTATTTTAACCAGTTAATTTGTATTGGTTTTCTAAAACATGAACAACTAAATACATCAGGAATACATCAACTATAATGTTCACGTACAATAGTTCAATACACCTTACAAGGTTTCCCATTTTCTACTTGTTTTCTCCTTAGTTAAGAAAGGCTAATGGCAGCTTCCTTGACTTAATCTAGTTTCGCATCAGATAACCCAGAGAGATGATATACTACATCACAAGGCAATTGCAGTAAGTAACTTTGGAAGCAAAGTAATGACTGACATTCTGAATTTCAAGCTGCCTCTTCAGTATCTCCACTAAAATTGAAGAAAGAGGAATCATCCTGTCAAACAGATGACAGACATTAAGGAGTCAATAATGGGACCTAGGCTTAATGTTTGCAGAGGTTCTATTTCAAATACAGTTTAAACCACTGCCAGTATTACTGCTATTGGCATCAGCTACAAGGCATTCACAGCAATCTGAACTCTGTATTTAGAAGGATGCTCTGAAAGCAATTTTTCAGTAACAAAAACCAACCGCCTCCCAAAGCGCTATCTAGCCAAAAAAAAGATCTAAAAATTCCTCCACAGTTGCCAACTAGACAATAAATCCACATGTTTCAAGAAGGGTGCTTTTACAGTAAAATACTCTGAAGTAACCTCAACTTATTTAAAATCAGCATCAACTTCTTTGAAGTTGCTGTAGATAGCATGAGGATGTAAAGGGCTGGGTGGGAATCAACATCCGAATTTTAATTTAAAAAAACCCAACCTCACAAGTAATAGTACTGAAATGATAGGGTTCTGAAGGGGAAAGTTTTCCTAAAGCCTCAACTACTACTAACAAACCAAAAATTACCTACAAAGATATTCCAGAAGAGTTTTCAAAATAATAATGAAATATTAGCCCAGTCTAGTATTTTGTAAAGTTCTTGTTCTCACTATGAATGCACCACTTGTCAAATACAGCTTTATCCAAATTGTAAAATCAAGGGCCTCCTATATACTTAAAAACAGCCAAGTAAAGCCAACAGTATAATAAGCTACCTTCCAACTCCTGCTTAGCCCATTTCCATTCTACTCCACATCCCTAGCCTTCATGACATACTATATCAAACAGGACCAAGAGCACATGGGATGAAATGGGACCAAACAGATTTCAGTATTTCAAAATGCAACTTAACTCTTACTTTTGATTGGGTTTTTTTTTGTTATGGACTGATTACAAGTACAGAAATGCTTAAGTATCTGCTTCTGCAAACTCACAGAACCCATCTTAAATTGTTTCATCACTTGTAATACTGTGATCTGAGTCCCAGCCTTCTTTACAGCTATCCAAAAGATTAGACAAACAAAATCAAGATGTGAAAACTCAGGCTCTGCAAGTCATCTGGAGCAATACAGTCTGGCCTCTTAATTCACTTTCCTCTGACTGCTAGAGCTCTCCCAGGACAACCTCGTAACTAACCAACTGGTCTAAGACCTCAAAGATTTGTGTTTAACCTCATGCTTTACTTCTGTCTTCCAATGCAATCTTGCACAGTTTTCTCTAGAGCTCAGCTCAAAATTAGTACTTCCTTTTTCCACACTATTTACTCATTTCCTGTTTATAACAGGATCCACCTTAAAAACACACTTACCATCTCCCTACTATGTAAGACAATGCCTTAATCAAAAGATCTGATTTCAGCTGGGATTTCTAGAAGCTTCTTTTAAAGATGCTTGTATATAAAAAAAGTCTACATACTTTTTCTTGTACAAACGTGAAACTCACAGAAACATCACAGATTAGGTTTTAGTAACACATAGTTCCAGCAAAATATTTTTATTACAGTGCTTGGGTAACTAATATATAAAAAATGCTACCTGCAGAGATAAATGTTCCTACATGACATTATTCATGATCAGATACAGTAAGCATTCAGAATTCTCTTCTTACTCCCCCAACACATACATGAACACAAACTTTGGGGGCTCACAGGCCTCTAACAATAATGTATCAGATGATTATTAAATTATTCAAGCTTGTGAGTGAAAGAATTAAATCGATGTGTCACAATAGACACAAAATCTTCCTATAGGCACTGGAGCCAAGTGGCTGGTTACTTAGTTTCAAAACACTTGAACATATAATATTGCTGAGTAAACGCCATTTTGATTCACAGAGCCAAATAAAATTTGGAGCTTAGCTATCTGTCTTTTGAACAATACAAATAAAACATCAGCAAATGTGTGCAAGTAACTTTGAGACAACAGAACCAATGCATTTGTGCTGCATAAAAAAAACCCAGGGAAGATTTCAGATTTGAATGGTACAGCAAGCTTTAACAAGATGTTTCTATATCCTCCATCCACTCTCACTGCACCAATGTGTTACTAACAGAGAGCAGCCAACAAAGAGCCAGATGTCTCCCAGGCAGCTTCCAATTTCCACACCACTCCTGAGGGGACACCGATTCAGACTCGGGAGATCAGAGAGGATGGACTCTGGAGCCTTTTAGCAGCAGGAAGGAAACCTCTTCCCTGCTGCAGACTGAAAGTCCTTTCAAGTACACTTTTATGCACCCAGCTTGGCAACACCCAAGAAAATGAAAGTGCCCTACTCACTATAAAATGTAGTTGTATGCTGTAGCAAGCTTATAGGTCCAAATAAAGGAGAGCTCAGCAAGCATCTTTGTCTAAGGACCTTCATCCACCTCTACATGGGGGAGTGAAAGGAAATAGGAACATGTATTTCTCGTTTTACCTCCTGAGACCAGAACACCATCGGAATTAACAGCCAGCGTGTTGATAATAGCATTGTGACCAGAGAGGTTCTGAATGAAGTTTCCATCTGGGAATTTCCACTGTTTAATATTATCCGGAGAACCAGATGCAAATGTGTAACTGAAAGAAAATAAGCACAGTATATTAAAGTTCAAAATAGCCATAGAGATAGAAAATATCCTTCATTGAAGCTACCGTTAAATGCTAGTTGCAAAGTTACTTAATACTGAACCTGCTTTTCTGACATTTTTACTTTGCATAAAATGAAACAACTTTATGAAGTCATGAATTACCTATCTGTTTCCTTTCTGTTCCGTAGACCACCTAAACTTTATGAATCCTATGCCACATAGGATGTTAATAGGCAAACAAACATTAAAAATGCACATTAAATCAGTTGCTATTCCAGCAAATTTTCAGGTGTAAGGGCATCATCAGCAAAGGTATCAGGAAAAAAAAATGAAACAAAACCCCAGTATTGACTAGTCCTCTAAAACTATACAACCAAGGATAAAGCATGCAAAAAAAAGTGAACTATGAAAGATGGTTTGTTTTACTGAGTTACCCTAAAATAATTGATTCCCTCATTTTAACATGTGGAGGCAGTTAAGAAGGTTATTTGGGTAGCACATATAAAAGCCTGTAGGAGTATCTTCAATTGCCGCTTCTAAGGCATTTGCTGTCTATTTAATAGATTCTTCAATAACAAAACAGATTATTAGGAAAAAATAATGGAATATATAAAAAATATAGAAATACTAAAATATAAAAATACTAGGCTGACAGTTGCTACTGCTTGATAAAAACACTTCAAGTTCTTTTTCAAGGAGGTATGACTGACGAGTCTGAAACAGGGTTGTTTTTTGTCAGAATTTAAGTAAAACTAGGTTTTTTTCTCTGCTATAACTAACAGGCATAGCATAAGATTTTTTATACAGTTTCAGACACACAGATTGGATCAGAATCAATTGATATCAAAGATTCTGAATTTCTGCACTGACAATTTCAGCTTAAAATATTGAAGGTGCAGAGGGACTATAGTTCTATGTGAATCCCTTTTCTCCATTGTTTTAATGGGGATTTATCTGAACAGGCAAATGGCGATGCATCAAAATATAATATCTAAAATCAGAGTACTTCCAACAATACCTGCTTCAAAGATTAAATACAGGAAGTTTCATTTTAAGGTCAGTTAAATTGAAGTGCCTTGTTCACTGAACAACATATTCAAGAAAAACCCATTCTGTTAATCACTGCCTCAGCTTTAGTCAAACACATGTTATTTTACAAAACTACTTAACTTTCTGCTCACCATCTTCGGTTACATATTTATTATTAGCCTTAAAAGCCCAGTGTCACTGGGTACATACGTTAGAGGTACATACGTAACAAGATCTGTGGAATATAAGAGATTCTCAGGATTGCTAACGTACACCAGTGCCAACATTTGGGGAGCACAATCAGTCTAGTAACGGTATTTAAGAACTGATATGTACATTTTTACAGCATTCTCAGCTCATTAGCTTTTCTCATTATTATGCCCTAGCATTCCAAATCACAGTCACATTGGCTTTCCATCACCACCCAATGTTACGAACTGTGAAAGTGTAAAAGAATGAGGAAAGCTTACTGTCTTGGATGTAGCACTACTGCTCTTACAGACTTCTTGTGATTTGTTAAAGTAACTCGAGTTTTTCCTGCCACTAAATCCCAGAGCCGTATGGTAGTATCATGACTGCCTGCAATAAAAAGAAAATAAAAAAGTTGTAGAAACCATCATATTGATTCTATCATTGTTATTATTTTGGTAAGGCAGCCAAAACTTTAGATGTGAAAGAGACAAAAATAGTTAATATTTGTTACAAAAATATGATACTAATGCCACCTCAGACAAGAAGAATGTTGGATTGTAATATTAAAAAAATGCATGTAGTCCGAATGCAGAAAATGTACCTCTCAAAACATATAACAGAAAAAGTGAACACCTGAAACAAAGGAAGTGCAGAAAAACATTCAAGCAATGCATAGCTATATTTTCTTAAACATACCATTAACAGTATGGAATAAACATTACATAGCCCATTTTCAACAGAAAACTAGTAAGAGAAATTGAATGAAATAAAGATGACATCATGAACCTCACATAATTACTGAATAATTACATTCATGATTATGTTTTACAATCATGTTGCTTATGAAGCCATGCCCATTATACCTGTAATAATTTGAGGTTCTGCAGCTTGGCATTTCACTGTCGCTACCGCATTTGTGTGTCCTGAGAGTGTGTGCACACTGGCTTTCGTCCTCACATCCCAAATCTATGAATTCACAGTAAATAAAATCACAGAGGTCAATAACAGGTGCATATTCAATGTATTTTAGGCAGTGGCATTGATTACATTAATTCCTTGCCATAGTTCTACAGATTTAGCAATTGCTTTTAGGTAGCTTTTTTCATACAACAATTAATCATACAACTGCCTCAGGTGGCAAATTTCAAGGGAAAAAGGGAACCTGCCACTAAATTTCTAGACATACAATTAAAGTCAACATAAAACCATTGTATCTTCTAAATACAACAAAGTAATCCTATGTTTTATTTCTTAACTTGGTAGCTGGACTACATTCTCCTGAAGTGACACCGCATTTCTGTGTATTTGGGCTTCAGTTTTTATCAATAACAAGTTAACATAAGCAATCTTAATATTTTCATCTTGACTCGTTAACTTTGGTAAGTATTCACTCTTACAAATAGAAGATGTTGAAATGTAACGATGCCATACTTACTCGTGCTGTTGAATCTCTGCTACATGTTACCAGTACATCTATTGTTGGATGCAAGTCTAAACCATAGACAGCACTTAGATGACCATGGTAATGTCTGATAACCTAGATGAATAAAAAATGCACACACACTAAGCAGATGTTTGAAAGAATATGCTTTGATTTTTATATTCGCCATCATCAAGTAATTCCAATTAAAGAAACTACAGCTTACCTTATTGTATTCAAGATCCCAGCATTTCACTTGTTTGTCTTCTCCACAAGAAAAGAGGTACGGACTTCTTGCGCTTACTATCACCCCTCGTACAGTACTGATGTGTCCCGTCAAAGACAATTTCAATTTACCACTAGCAAGGTCCCAAATCTGTATCAAAATAGGTATTGTGAGGTAAATAGGTAAAAGCTACACATTACACATCCGGGTAAACAGCCCAGGTGTCACTGATCCTGCTGCATTTTAAATTCAAAATTAAAATAGCATGAACTTTTGCTCTCCAGCTACTAACATGTAATAAACAAAATACCAAGTAGAAGTAGTACTCCACTAATTCTTTATGATTATGCAAAGAAATTCTGCAAGCAGTAACCAAGAAATTGTTTCCAAGGGCTGAAGACTTTTTTTACATAAGACAAGGAAAAAACTCCACCCCCAGCAAACCCCAGGTTGTCAGTGATTTCTGCCAACCTCTTACCTTTATAGTTCTGTCAGCAGAGCCGGTGACAAACCACTGATTTCCTGGTTCTACTGCAATACATCTCACCCAGCCCAGGTGACCACTGATAACCTTTAGAAAAATAATTTTTTTTTCTAAATCAGAAACACACATACATTTGCCAACATAATTTTTGTTCTCCAACTTGGAATTTGTTAGTATTCACCAAGAAACAGATGCTCCCCAAAAAGTCAAACATCAAATTAGATCCGAAGAGAGCTTGATTTCTACTTTAGTTAAATGAAGAGACTTCTAGAAATTCATGTTATACACCAGAGTTATGCTTTGAGAGTCCATAATGCTGTGGCTCAACACTTGGGGCCTTGCAGAAAAAGACTGTATTTAAGCACAAGTTCTGTACACTGTTGTATAATGCTTATACAATAGTTAAAGAACAATTAAATAAGATCTTGGCTATTAAATCACACTGCCACAGAATAGCTACCTCTTAAAGCACACCACCACCTTTTCCCCAAATAAGGGATAACATGAGCATGTTGGAAACTTTCTGGTAACAAAACACTGGAGGCAGACATCACAAGAAAAGCTCTAGACTGTATTTAAGCACAAGTTCTGTACACTGCTGTATAATGCTTATACAATAATAGTTAAAGAACAATTACATAAGATCTTGGCTATTAAATCACATTGCCATAGAATAGCTATCTCTTAAAGCACACCACCACCTCCTTTTCCCCAAATAAGGGATAATATGAGTATGTTGGAAACTTTCTGGTAACAAAATCCTGGAGGCACACCTCACAAGAAAAGCTCTGTGAAGAGATGACTTGCTTACAGCAGCCTGTTTCTCTAATTTCTCCTGACATCAGACAGTTAAAAATCAAAACACGTATTTGGTTTCATTGGATGTCATATTTCATGTACAGCTCATTTCAAAAGATTTAAAACACAACAAAAGTTCTTAGGCAGAAATACTTTGGAAAATTAAAGTGGATTCTTCTGACCAGATGAGATCACAGCCACATACACTTGAGATAGCTGTCTAGATTCTTCACAGTCTAGGAATAGAAACTGGCATTTCCAGGGAACAAAATCTAAAAAATAATTCATCTGACCTATTTTAAGTCACCATCTTTCACAAATGACTTCAAACCAATCTTAGGAAGACCAGCTAAAATGTAGGTCTTAAGCAACAGATAAGATGAAACCTACATTTGGTGTTCCAGTTACACTTCTATTTCTGAGTTGCCTGAACAAGCTTTTGTCTTGTTCAGCAAGCATTTTGACAGACCTCCACTAAAACTGCTGACATGTAGAATTAGTACAGTGACTTGAACTGTATTAGCACTATCTCTCAAAAGAAAGTGCTCCTACCAAGTAGGCATTTTTAATTTGGCTACCATAAGTTTCTCATGAGTTTACTTTGGTGCCATTTTTTTCAAATGGCATTTGCCTTAATTTTTATATAGAGCACATTCTAATATTTAGAAAAATCTATATATATTTTCCTCTGAGCTTAAGAGTTTTTTTAGAAAAACACCTTGAGAGATTAACCTTAAGATTTATGACAATAAAGCATTCAGGACTCTACTGAAGATCTAAAACACCTACAAATGGTGCTCTATTTAGATGAACAATACAATACTGATACTAGAGTATGAAATTTTTAAATATCAGGAAAGTCTAACACTCCTAAAGTAATATTCAACCTCTCAAACAAAATATGAAATTGCTTAAATTTCATAGTAATAATCAGCCCTTCAGAAAAAAATGTACATATTCAAACAAATGCGCCTGAGAAGTTACAAAGATTTGAATCAATACTTATGCTTCACGATTTTCCCTTCAACTCGGCTACCTTGCCATACTCATCACCAATATAATAATAAAGATAATAGGAGACTTTGGAGTAATGGCTATTACACCCTAAGAAAATTAAAAGGTAAATTAGACTAATCCAAAAACAAGACCAGAATTCAAACAATCTAAATCACAGAGATAATTTGTGATAAAAAATTGTCAGGTTTCTTTCCCCCATTTTCAAAGTAAGAGAAGTCTGGCTGACTCAGACACCGACTGCCTTTAAGTATTTTTGGAGACAACTTCATTACATTAACATTGTTGGAGTATTTCTTTAGCATGTTATTCATTTCAAATTTTGGATCTTGTCTTTGAGTTCCTCTACCAAAGAATTTAACTAGAGAAAACCAAACTCATCTTGTCTTTGAGTTCCTCTACCAAAGAATCTAACTAAAAAAAACCAAACTCTGTAATGAATTTATAGTACAGCTAAACCTATGTAAACAGAAGGGTGAAATTTACAATATTCACAAAATAGTTTACTAAACAGAACAAAAAAATGTTTGTAATCTAATCTTTGTAATTTAAAGACAGTGTGCACATACAACTCAGCTGTGATCATGTTTCATTCGATTTCATTTTTGTGAATGAGAAGAAAAATCATGCTTTGAGGTCTCTACAGAACATAAAACACTCACTTGTATATGCATGTTCATGTCATACAACAAAAAAATGTTTGTAATCTAATCTTTGTAATTTAAGGAGAGAGTGTGCACGTACAACTCAGCTGTGATCATGTTTCATTCGATTTCATTTTTGTAAATAAGAAAAATTATGCTTTGAGGTCTCTATAGAACATAAAACACTCACTTTTATATGCATGTTCATGTCATATATTTGTAACTTACTCTGTACAGTTTCCAAGGTGGATGCCACTGAGGTTTGGGCATGGTTGGAGCCTTCTTTGCCATTAACGCAGAATTTTTGTTTCCACCAGCTTCCACCATTGCCTGTAAGTTAAAATGAAGATTACTCTTTATGCTTTACAACTTCTCTTTGCCTAAAATCTAAAGCCTTCTCATTCTGACATCTCAACACTGATTAAATTTAGTCAGTCAGAAGATGTCCACACAACACACAAAGGAATCCAAAAGCTATCTGGTGAACACTATATACTTTTCACATGAGATGTGCAACAAACTCACCACAGACATTCCAGGAGGCTGCGAGCGCTCCGAGATCCCAGCATGCCTGTAAATATCGCCCACGCCAGCAGCTGTCCGATTTGCATCCATCCTGGGTTGAATGAAAACAGTGGATTGGAATCAACTTTATCTTTCACTAAGGAAGAGCTAAGGTACCACAGGAGTTCATCCAGTCAAGTGCTGTATATCTCCAAGGATGGAAGCTCCACAAGCTCTCCAAGCAACCTGTTCCAGTGCCTCACCACCTCAAGGTAAAAGGCACCCACAAACAAAATCCCACTTTTCCCTCTTGTATCTAAACAGGATTTCCTTTGCTCCAACTTCTGCCCATTGCCTCTTATGACATCCCAAGAAAAAAAAAGGTACAGGAAAATTATGTCTGGCAAAACTAAAAGTAATTTCTTTAAACATTTTATGAATTAGAGAATTCAAAATACTTAAAGTTGCTCTTATTCTGACGTCTGTGGTTTGTCTCGAAATTCCCCACAGATAACACAAGCATTAAAGACATAACTCAGCAGTACCTGGACTGAGAAGCAGGAAGTGCTACAGCTAAGGACTGTGCTGCAGATTCACTAGGCATCCTCTGGACCTTAGTATCTGCTGTCAGAGCCACACCTTGAAAAAAGAAATAACACAGCAAAAGCAGCCAACTATTAAAAAAATTCAGAAAATAATATACTTGTAAATATGTGTTTATGTAATATCTGTGAACAAGGGCTTCTCACACTCCTGTACTATTAAATCCCATTATTCAATGACATTATTTTTCACATGCAACTCAAATCTGCTGAAATTTTTGTTCTGGCCCAAATTCTTTCCATCTTGATTCTACTACATAAATAGGTACACAATTTCTAGGGTAGAAGATTGTATGATTTGTCATTGGAAACAAAAAAAAGCGCCTAACTAGGAGTAGCGTCCATCTTTTCATCCAGCTTCAACTACTATGAAAATCCAAATATCACAGGAAAAAAAAACCATGTTCTTGAGAAGTATTTGCTAAACTAGGTCCTTTAGTGCAGTTTATTATGCCATCCCCATGTGGTGGCTGGTATCATGCAGTAGTGCCAGAACTACAAGAGGCTTAGTCCTACTGAAGCGAGAATTTCAGACTACAACTTTTAATTTATAACCTCATCCTAAAAACAACAGATCACTTTTTAAAAGTCTAAGAACTCTTTGCCAAAGTGTAGTTTTGGAGCAGACTGGTTAATTTATTCCACTCTCATTTCTGTATTTCTTTCCCTAGCCAAATTTTTGGCAATTGACAAAGGCAACATTTGGGTGAGCTATCCAGGTTAAAAAAAGAAAAAAAAAGAAATCTAATTTTTAACTGTCATATATCTGATTCTATTAAAAGAGCTTGAGGAAACATCTGTGAGCAAGTCTTCTCCCCACAGTCAACTATGCATGATTAATGCTGAGAGTCCACTGAACACTCACATTTGTTAACTTACAAATCAAGCCACAACACATTTTGCACCATACTTGTAATAAACTTAAGCACTAACAGTAAAAGATCAACAGCTAAAACTAAACTGCTACAAGGAGAGAGCAGGATTGATGAGTAACAGTGACAACTAGTAATGGCCAATCTCTCAACACAGAAACATAACTCTTCAAAGCACAGACAAAACCCAAATGACACTAAAATTATTAAACCCTAATATCTCTCAGAGCAAGGTGGTGACACCTTTCTGCTCTAGTGAGGAAAAGGCAGGACACATTCCCTCTTGTCTTTCTCCCCCCTCCGTGTTCACAACAAAATTGTAAGAGCAGCTCCATCTCATGAGTGGAAACACGAGGGGTCTGAGGGTCTTGGCAAGCTCTCCAAGAGAAAGTGGACCAAAATATCAGAGAGGCATTTCCTAGAATATTTTTTTTTATGAAGTTACCAGAAGAGGTGAGATCTCAGAAATGAATGACCATCTTGCAGCAAGCTCACATCCACTGAGGCTTACTGAGAAGACACTGCATCTGCACCTAAATCCTTCTCCTACCTCCTATGCCAGAACTTATCAACTATAAAACTCTCTGTATCAATACCACGAAGGACTTCAATGGCACTTCCCACTACTATCAGCTACAGATTCACAGCTACAGGAAGGATGCTCCTACTAGGATAGAGGATGCCTAATTCTAACAGGAAGGCAAAAATCCCAGGCAAACCCTCACAGAATTTTACTTACCAGGTCCAGGTGGGTATGGATGTGTACCAGTTATCATATACTCCATTTCTTGCCCTAAAGAACAAGAAAAATTCATATTAATAATGAAATTTTATACTGCATTGCAAATGATGCACTCAAATAGGAAATACAGAAAAACAGAGTAGGTCATATACAGCAGGAGAAACCAGCAATCACTTCTAATGAACTGCACTTTGTCATTTCTTAGTTAATTTAATTTGTTCTGGTCACCTCAGTTTTCAAGAGCTCAAGAGTAAAATAACATTATTAACATGGTGATGCCACTCATTATCAAGAGTGATTCACTCTCAAGAGAAAAGTCATCATACTGCCAAAGACAACTTTTAAAGTAGATAACACAGAAAAGGAATGAAGTATTCAAAGAGCATGGGTGACTGAACCCTAAGCTAATCACAACAATTGACTGTGTGTGGTATCAGAAAAGAAATAGGTTCTTTTCTTAAAATATTTTTACTATCTCTCAGTATCTTTTATTCTCAAAACAATTCCAAATAAAGTGCCTTGAAAAAAAAATCATGTAAAATAAGCCAGCATTTGGCATTCTTTAGAAAAGAAGTTTTTGTATGGGATCTACCTAATACATGCATGTTTTACATATAACCAAACATAGGCTGTAAAAACCCCAAATTTAAAATACAGATTTTCCTGGTTTAATAGTCACACTCCTAAAAAAAGTCTGAAAAAAAATCTATGAAACAAAATTAAAAAAAACAACAATAAAAGAGCATGTCCTTGACCATCATGAACTTGTAAAAAGAAATACATTATTGATCTTTCTCCTTCTAGCATTTAAGTACAGCACACACTAATGTTACCATAAAAATTACCCATTTTGCTAATGAGTTACTGGAAAAAATTTCACAGTAATCTATTACTCTTGTGTTAAAAAAAAACTTCCTCCTCATTCTGAATCACCTCCTGTGGACCCTAGCAAGAAAAATACCTATCAATGAAAAACATGGTATTTTGATTTCCATCTTTACCTCCAATGCCTTAACACTGGACTTCAGATTTTACATCAGTGAGACCGTCACAAAAGAAGGGACAAATATAGCACTAAGAGCAAACTAACCTTGATTTCCAGAATACTGTTTGTGTCCATAAGGATCCCCGGTGTTTGGGCCTCCTTTCTCTCTCAAGTTTTCTTTAAGAGTAGGCATGTGTAACACTGAGCCATACTCAGTACGCAGCTTGACTGCCATCTTTACTTTGTGACTGTTGGAAGAGTAAAGCATAATCCTGATTAAACCTGTCTGGAATTGTTATTAAGTTTTTTAATACTTTAAGGAAGGTTTTATTCAACTTGCTTTACAATTCTGATATTTTTTCTTCCTTCAAGACCACACTCTTAACTCTACAGAAACATCTCAACTTCTGACATGGTTGGAGCAATCGCTAACATAATTTAAAACTCTGAGGCATACCAGTAATTCACTGATTGCAGTACTTACCTTTCTTCATCTAAAGGGATAGGCTTGGCATTATCAGCTACAAACATATCATGGGTTCTTTTCAAAGATCTGAACACAAGTGTGTGCACAGAATGCTTTTGGACTTCCTAAAATAAAGAAAAGAATATTTAAATATTTGGACATAACGAAATGAAAAATTCAAAACAGAAACATAAATTGAACTGAGTAGCAATTTCATACTTGAGTACTGTTAGATGATAGAGCACTATTTATGCCACAAACTGCTCTCTTGGAAACTAAAAAATTAAGTTTGTTTGTTAACTGTTTTAATTCAGTGTTCAGCCCAAATAATACTCCTTTTCTTGAAAACTGTCAAGACTTTGAAAACAAGCCAAAAACTGATGTTTTTCCACACTGGCATCTACATGACAAATCCATGAGCATGCAAGCTTTTTCCCCTCATGCTTTCCAGTTCTGTTTTCATATGTAGGCAATAAAGTAACAGATTCTGAAAATATGCCTGTATGTTTTATTTCACTATGACCACAAAAAGAACAAGGGGAATCACCAGTTTCTATGCACAGTGTCACTTTACTTAGGTTACAGCACAGTTTATTGAGATAAAACTTGGGATCAAACCTGGCAAAACTTCTTTTCCTTTTATAACTTTTATTTGTTACTAAAATCAAAACAAAATCTAATTCAGGAACTAACAAGAAGCATTAAAAAGCTATTAACTTATATAGAATATTTGCTTATCAACAGCAAAATTCAGTTTATTAATATTTTACTCCCAAGGGACAAAAAAATCATGAGAAATCTCAGCCTGCTTGCTTAGGTACAGAACCAAACTCTCTGCATGCCTGTTGTTGTTCTGTACATCACACAAATAATGACAATAAACTGGAAGCTACATTAATAACACTTGGCATTGGGTATCACTCAGCTGCCCAGTCTCCAAGACGCATTACACAGATGCTTTTTCCTGTTAAGCTCTTTGCAGGTTCCCAGGTTTTCCTGCCTGGGAAACAGTCCACTCATCAACCCATTTTGGGGTGGCTGTTACCCTCCTAACTCAGTAGTACCTACTCAAAGTTTTTGCTCTGGCTGCAAGTTCCAGGTATTCAGTGAAAAAAAAAACCACAAAACAAACCAGCATTTGGAATTGGGTTAGAAATTTCATACAACTGGAGAAAGAAATAAGAATTACAGTAGCCAGTTACTATTCAACAACAGCAGCCATCAAAATCACCACACAAATAATAGATAACACAAAGCCTTCCCAGTAGGAAAGGCTCATCTACAACTATGTTTTGACAGAGGCACCACCCTGTAAAAAAACTACTAGCAGTGTTACATGGAGCAGCTGTCTTTGCATCTTCTTCCATGCTCCTCGCAATAAGACTTGCTATGAGGTGCATCATATTCGCCTCGCAGTAACTATTCCACGGCCTATACAATCAGTGGCCTTCTCCCCAGCTTTACTTCCCAGCCCTCAAAAAAATCCTACCATTTTTTTGACTAGCTGACAAAGCCAGTTCAGTCATCTGCGGCTGGCCATCACAGCATCTCCTCCCCAGGGCCAATCCCGCACCCGCGTTAGGTCTGCCAAAGTAAAGCTACCGCCCACTGCTTACTCCTGCCCCCGACCCACAGAGCCCGCAGCCCCGCACCACGGCCCCAGTCAGGCAGAGGCCGCGGCTCTCAGACCGGCGAGAAACACCCCTCTCCCTTCCTGCGGGCACCACGCTGCCCCCCGGGGCAGACTGGGCAGGGGCTGGGAAGGCGGAGGAACCGCCGTGATCTGTTCCCACAGAGGCGTTTTTGTAGCCAGGGGGAAGAGAGGCTGAGGAGGTGCGGTGCGTGCCTCGGTGGGCCCCGGCCCCTCCCGCCCGGCCGGGCCGGGCCCAACCCGCCCCGGCAGCGCTCTCCAGTCTCGCCCGGGATGTCTGGTCGGGGAGGACGCGATGGGCCTGGCCGGAATCCCCCTCGCCCCTCACCTCCACCATGGCGCCGGCGAACCCCCCCGCCACAGCTCTCTGCCGACCGCTATGGAGGCACTTCCGGCGCCGGTCCCGCGCCGCACCGGAAGAGACACGACGTGCGAGGGGCGGGTTAGATAAAGGAGTAGAGGGGCGTGGCCGAGCCGGAGGGGCGGGGCTTATCGGCGGCCGCGGGTAGGGCCGGGTATCGCCGGTTCGAGTCCCGCGGCCGCTGCGGGAGCGCGGGGTGCGACTCGGGGCGGGGGGGGGCGGCGCCCACGCGGGACACATTTACGGTCCGACCCCCCCCAGGCACCGCCCCCGCGAGGAGAGGGCTGCAGTGACGGGTACCGGCCAGGAGAGCGCGATATTCAGCTGTGGGACAGGCAGCTGGTGGTTTCCAAACCTCTCCTGGAGCCGTGGAGAGGGTGGGTGACATCTAGGCAATGGTTCCCCACGCTGGGGGACTGTAACACGCTCTGGTCAGCCTGATTTTGTAGAAATCCGTGGCCTTTGCAATTGTTTTGTGTCGTGCTGCGACAGCTTTTAAGTGTTCTTTTCTTCCTGAGTTCTCCAGGGCAAAGCCTGCTCAGGGAACCACACAAAACCAGGGGGATGTGGAAAAACCGCCCCAGGACTGAAATGCAACCTCTAAACAAAAGCAAACAGTGCGATGTGCGATGCTAACCGCTATACCGCCTTTTGGAAAAAGTATCTTTAGTTTAGGTTCCCCAGGACATCCTCTGGATGGAGGCTGAAGTTGTGCGTGGAGGAGCTGAGAGCCCCCACGCTTCTGGCGAGATGGGAACGTTGTGAAAGGGCAGAGGTTGGAGTTCTTTTCAAATTCTATCCTGATACTCCAGCAGATTCTTCTCTTGCCTTCATAAGCAGAACAACCAAATGCATCTGTGCAGATAGGCACCTGCTTTCTTCACACACACTCATCGGCTCCTAAAGTCAGGAGGTCTTGTCCTCCCTCACTAAAGCTGGGGTTTGACAAGCACATCTTTTGCAGCTCCACCATCACATTGCTCATCTTTACCACTAAAGCAGCCACTTACCACATCTGTCTTGACGCCTGAGCTGTAAACAGTTTGCAAACTGTTTTGAGCTAAAAGTAATCCAGTGCAACATCTGTTGGTTCAAAGCTCTCCTCTTTATTAGCTACAGGATGGCATTAGCCAGGGATTATTTCTGGCACATGAATTGCCTGCTTGACATAATGACCATCTCTTCTATTTTCTGGAGCTTGATGGACCATTTCTGGTGGCTGCACTGATAGTTTATATTTAGTTACTTGAGGTATGGTGGTAGCTAGAATTATGCTCCAAGTGGCTGTGACACCCAGTGCCTGGTCTGGGGTGGAGGTGGGGGTGAGATGTCCATTACTCCATGCCACTAACAGTGGAGAAGCATTGTCAGCTCAGTTTCAAGCCAAAGCAGTCAGGTTTCGTGTTTAACACAAGGACCTATTTTGGTAGTCCCTCTGATGATGCCAGGGATCACCTTGGGTTTCAGAGCCTCTGGTGAAGGTCAGCACAGCACCTCGAGGAGGGGAAGTGTTTTCTGTCCTTGCTCAAAGTGCAACCTAGGGTGCAAACTCCACGGGGCAGCGTGTCAAAATGGGGCAAGACTGTTGTGTCCTCCAGGGCTGGTGAGGTTAGATTGAAGATACACAAGGTTTAAAAGGAGATTTGTGGGGAAGGGATTTCAAATAGTTGTTTTTTTTTAAAAAGTTGACACACAGAGTAGTGTGTACCTGTTGATTGGTCAGTTGACTGATTGGTGGATTTGATGTGTGGAAATGGTTTAAGGGCTAATCTCTGGCAACATACAGTGTCACAATACAGTTGTTTCCTTTCTATTGTCTGTTGAAAGAAATCAGGCTTATTTTTACTGTCTTTTTAAAGGAAACCAAATTTGAAATACAGACTCTTGTAGCAGTTGAAGAAAAAAAATTTCCATTTACATTTTGCAAGAAAACTTCACTCATATATGCTGTTTATTACTATTATTATTAGTGTTCATAATGGCCCTGTAGTTGTTCTCCTTTTTTTACGAGTAAACACTACCCTTAGAAATTTATAATCTCAGCTTATTTCCTGGTGTTCTTTCAATGCTTTAGAAAATCAGACAACAAATTAATCCCTTAATATATTTTTTTTTTCTAAAAGATATAGTCTAAGGTGAAATTTAGTCCCAGAACTTCAATAAATCATGTCAGCAATATTAATTAAAATATCCGCTTTATTAATTTTCTTTATTATATGAAACTACTTGTTGCCTTCTTGCATGTCAGCTGCAGCTGCAATTCTGGAAATAACAAACTGTGATTTTTTTTTATAAATACCTACTTAGAAGAAGGTGACTAGTAAGTTGCATGTACTTTTAGTACAGTATTAAGGCCAAAGTGAACCACCCCACTCATTAATGTTTAAGAACTTGCTTGCTTCCAGAACATGAAGATAGCATTAATTCTCCTTTACGAGAAACCTTTGAAGCAATATTTGTTACTGGTAAAAGCAAGAAATGAGGATGTTAATCTCAGCAGAGATGAACATTTAAGTTCACGGTATTCTTTTCATAGCATGACACTATTACAACACTAGTTGTTTAAAACAATTAGTCGTTTAGACATTTCTAAACCAGCTGCTATTTTTAAAATTTAATTTAGTAAACATTGTAGCTCATCGTGGCCCAAGAAGATTCTGTTCCCCAAGACCACCTCGGGGGGCACATTCAGCTCCGAAGAGCCGTGATCCAGTGACCGTGACTCGCCCGAAGGGGGTTTGTGTAAAGAGGGTTGCACCACTGACGGGCACGGCGGCACAGCAAACACGAGGGGCAGCAAGCAAATAGTCATTCCTCAAAACACACACATACGCCTCTGCCAGTAAGTGCCTTTTCAGTACAAAAATACTGTACAAAGGGGTGTCCTGGAACACCAGCAGGTTCGTGTTGTATTATTTACGGTTTCTATTAGCAGGTGTGTTGTGGTATCACTACCACGTTAACTCCGGGAACATCTCATTAAGCATATGAGTTAGAAGAGGCAATATAATGGAAAAAAGAATAGGTGTCCTGTTTTGAAGAAAAAGCTACTTTGATATAATTTTTTAGAAGAAATTTAAGCCATAGGTTTTGACGTTCATAAGGCTTTATTCAAACCTTAGAAAGTGTCAGCCTAACTGTAATGATTGCAAGCATGAGAGAAAATCACATCTCGTAACCAGCATGTTAACTGAAGTCAACTATATTCTGCTGCCAAAATGTTTTTCTATATATGTGTTTGTCTGTCAGTATAAGTTACTCTGGTCCAGATTTGAACTTTTTTTTTTTTTTTTTCTGATAAAGCTCTCCAGCCAAAACTTTTGCAGCTTAGACAAGGCCTCTGCTTACCAGATGAGCTATTGCACCATCCCCATCCCAGGTCATCTGCTAATTTTGACACAAAACCTTAAACCCGCGGTGGTGTGACATATGTGTGTTGTCCATGGTAAATCCCCAGGGAGACACAACCACTCTTGGGGAAGCCAATGAAACTAACTGGAGCTGGGAGGGTCAAAGGCTGAGTTTCAAAGGGGAAGTCCCATCTGAAGGCAGATGAAGCCGGGGGTTTCCCTGTGCTGGGACTGTGGGGCAGGCCTGGGTGCTGTGCGCCAACCCCCATCATCAGGTCCCAAACACCCTCTGCACAGCCACCCTTCTTCACAGGGAGGTGAAAAGTACTTAGTGCTGGAAGAAGCACACTGTAGTTACTGCAGAGCACGGTGATGGTTTCAGAACTGATTTAGGACAAATATCTTACATTTAATCAAGATTTGTTTAGACTGAGCCAGGATAATTTAAGACTAAGCTTCTACCTCAGGACTAGTGAGACCTTGTTTTAGTTCCACTGTACCACGAGCTGCCTGTAAGCCCTGGGCAAAGGTTCAGCATCACCATGTCCCTTCCTTATACATAAGGTGAATGAACTTCCCTCAGAAGTACAGAACGGGGAAACTGCATTGAAGGTTGGGAGATGCCCAGAATCAGTGATAATATCTTGGCTAGCATCTTTAAGTGGAAATAACATGTTAATGATGTCAGTTTTTGCCTTAGGCAGATTTCTTTAATGTCCGTAGGGAGAAGTTTGTGTTCTTCCAAATCTAATAGTGTCAGTGATGTCCTCATGTGAGGGATCAAATTCAGTGGAGTTAGAGCTCCTTGAGCCATGGCTGATTTTGGTCCAAGCTGTTTAATAATTAAACCAGTCAGGTTAAATAGTTTTAACGTTTCGGGAATCTCCATATTTTACAAGAATTCTGACAACAGCACAAATACAGGAAAGAGGCCTAAACCAAGCAATTTTAGCTGTTCTCATCCTTTTTTACCATAAAATCTCTCATTCCATCAAGTTGGTCTTTGAAATGGAACCTCAGCCCATGGTTTGCATCTCTTCATGTCTTCAGACATCTATATGAATAACTTCAGAAAACTGGCCCAGTGCTGGCCCTCACTCAGCCCATTTTATTTAAGTCAATATATTATGATAATTTATAATGCATAAGAAAATCACGGGATATAAAGACACTGAAGTGTTAAAACTCTTCTAATATGAGAGCAGCGATCTGCCATACTATTATCAAGGGTCAGAAAACATGTTTGAGTATTCCACAATGATTACAAATAGCTTCATGTTGTATTCTTTTAAAAGATTATTTTAAATATATAAATAATGTTTGATATATCTTTTTTGTATTAAAAAAGGGAACCAGCAAATTAATGTGCAAAATTTAATTATTTTACTTATATAATGTCATCTTGCTGAAGTAATGGAATAGCATTATTTTGTGCTTACAATATTCATCTGATCTTTAATTAGATCAAAACAATGTTTTCATTCAAAATTGAGAAGAATGTAGCAATCTGAATGATGTGAATTTAATTCAAATTTAATATTATATTTCTGAAACATTCCAATTTTCAGCAGTGAGAAAATAAAGGAGACATCACAGTGTGACATCTGATGATGTTTATTTTCTTTGGATGTTCACCTTTTCAGCTATTTTAAAAGACTTGTAATTTTTGAGAAAATGGTAACCTTGCGTAATCTGAGCAGGAGGTACTTT